CAACCAGATATTTATTTTTTTAATGTTTATATATTTATTTTGAGAGAGAGAGAGAGAGAGAGAGAGCAGGGGAGGGGCAGAAAGAGAGGGAGAGAATCCCAAGCAGGCTCCACACTGTCAGCACAGAGCCCAATGCCAGGGGTGGACGTGGGGGTGGGGAGCTCAAACTCAGGAACCATGAGATCATTAACCTGAGCTGAAATCAAAAGTCAGATGCTTAACTGCCTGAGCCACCCAGGCACCCCCTGTCACAACCAGATATTTAAAAGAAATGCAAACACCTCCATAAGTTATGAGCTTTAAGGTAAACAGAGACCCAGAATTATAACATATCCAGAAAGGAAATGTGGAGAAAACCCCTAAATTTTAGAACAAAATCCAAGCTTAACCATGGTCTTCTTGGCAGTAAGCTTTAGAAAGAAGGAAAAGCGACTACAATTTTCCTCTTTGTTGTGCCATTTCTCTTAGTTGAAAAATGCTTCTTTGGGGGCTCTTTTCACCTTTTGAGACTGCCTTTGATTTCCCCAGACAGGACACAGTTATGAGACGTGTGGAAATGTGCAAAGGTAGTTGCTATGGAGTGATTCACAAACATAGACATTAAGGATCTGGTTATGCTTCTTTTTATACAAGGTAAGGAAGGGTAGTCAGTCTAAGCAGAAGACAGTTGAATGAGTTTGGGCCACTGTAATTCAATGTAAGAGGTAAACTTTAAATTGCACAAGGATTTCAGTTATCACTTCCTTGTGGCTTTAAAAAACGCTCCCCTTAGTATTTACTGTGCCATCAACTATTTTCTTTTTATTAAAAGCCACATTAGGACATTGCATTCATTGCATTCTTTGTTGATTTGCAAGGTATCATATTACCAGCTTGTGGTCTTATCTCTTTAAAGAAATTGGTAGACACATCCCAGCATGTCATGTACATAGGGCTGCTCTTGGTCTCTGTAGCAGCATGCTGGTAACTCGATCTCTTCGTTCCAGATCTTCTACTCAAAGCTCAGATACTTGCTAGATTTCAGAAGGAGAATCTCTCTTCCACTAGAGGGTCCTGTTTTCTTCTCCAGACTCTCCCTTGCCTTTCCCCTCCAACTCCCCCTGAAGTCATGAAGGATTTCTGCCGCTTCTTCAAATGTGCCCTGCTTGTTCATAGCTCCAGAACTTTGCAGACAGGGCTCTCTCAGTAGGGATGATTCCCTTTATTCCCTCCTGTGGCCCTTTTTTTGTTCACTTCCTTTACTGATTTTCTTCTGAGGACTGTATGTTTTCCTGGACCATTTCTTCTGACCCATTAATCTGTGTGTTCATTCATACTCGTAGCACATTCACAATATTGTATCTTTATACTATGTTTAGACACCTGACAAAGCATTTCCCCCCCTACTTTTGTCTTCCTCGAAATTTTCTAGACTCCTTTTTCTCACGAATTCTTACAGATAGATTTTGAAACTGTCATGTTAATGAGCAATTTTTGGGTTTACTAACTCCTTGACGCTCCTTTTCCTGTATTCCAGCATATTATCGTCTCCCGGTTTTCTCTTCCACGGTTCCAGTTATTTCTTTTTTTGGTCTCCTTTTACTTTTCCGGCTGGGGTTCTCTCCTTATTTTCTTTTCATTCTCCTACATCTCCTTCCTAGCTGATTTAATCCATATCTATGGCTCTGTTGACCTTAAAAGTATAAAACAGTCAATTTACTAGAAGAATGGGTTTATTCAGAGATAGCAGAGGATCTGCAGTTTGGAACATGCCAAGTATAGCAAAAGCCATAAGGCAAGTCTGCAGAAGGAAGCAGGAGAACATTCCCTTTTAGAGTGGGGGGGGGGGG